CAATATTTTTGATTGAAATTCACAAATAAACTGCATCTCTACCTTAAATGAATAACCGTGTAAGGTTTCACTGTGATAGGCACGTCAGACAACGTTATGACCGCTGTCGTGTGATTGGTGTGTTCCCACAGCCAGAACCTAAAAGAACTGGCCAGGATATTATATAGGTGGGCCAGCACTTGCAGTTGATAAATTACCGGGCAATAGTTTTGAACAAATTATGGCCAGAATTGTAAGGGAAGAACGGAAAAAAAACAACAAGGGGAAGAGGCTCCGTGCTTAGCTCGCGAAAGAATCCTCTAGTTAATCCAAATCCTAAAATCACAGAGAAAATCAAAATAGACACGCATTAATACTGGGAACAACATAAGCCACGGTGTTTCGAGTGATAGGTTCGTATTAAAACATATCGGAAATTCAAAGTCAGCTTACATATTGCGCAGTCCCTCTATAGATATACTGTGCGCCTATTTTTCGGGCGAATTTACGTAATTTTTGACCGTTTTTTGGTTATTTTTTTACAGTTTGAATCGTCTCATTTCTCCTGTTTCACAAGCATAACTATTCTCTATCCAAAATCCCTACGAGAAAGATGGAATCAGCAATCACGGACAGTTCATTTCTCTAAAAATGAAATATGGACAAAAACATTTTTTTTTATTATTGCTGTTTGATACTCTCTATACTGGGCAAATCGGACTATGATTTATAATAATCCATTGTTATTGTACCTATCAAAACAAGCAGCTCACGTATGTAATGTAGACAATTTCATTGTTACATCGAACAACTACCTGAAGTGAGCCCTCGCAATACATGTTTAAGAAACAATTAGAAAAAAATATGCAAATAGCAACTACGATCGCTTATAGGCTTTTGTGAATTTTTAGACAAGCAAACTGACGCCGACTGTCACCAGGATATGACGATTTCAATTGGTGAAAAATAATCGCTCCTTTTTTTTAAATCCAGTTGGCAGCCAAATTAGCCGTCACTTTGGTAAATTGCACCCTTGTTCAGTTTGTAGGTTCGTGCAGATAAATAGACCAGAATAAAACGTTGAAAAACGTGAACAGAAGTGGAAATACCACTCTAGATATCCGGTCAATTCGTTGCGCGTATTGAACGTACGGCTTGAATGTTTCACCAGCATTGTTGGCTATGCCGTTCTTGGTGGCCGCACTGGATGAATCGTACTTTACAGCAAATATGTCTGTTTTGGGTTTGTATTCGCCTGGAACAAATGAATTATTGCTGACATCCATCGAAGAAGGTTCCTGAATAAAACAAAACAAGTAAGTAATGTAGTTTTTGCATTTTATTGACAACGACGCGACGTATACCACGCGTGTAAAATAAATTGCTTTTTTACACGAAATTCGAACTGTAGTGACCGCTGATTATTGTGCACATGAAGCGTGATATAATCGTGTAACATTCACCAAACCCCAACGCAAGTAATGTAACAAAGGTTAAAAACGACATTATGAGATTTTTGTTAGTATAGCGCATTCGCCACCACCCCCACACACACATGTGTGCGTGTCTTAAAGGCAACATCAATCCAAACAACATAATGACCATAAAGAAAAAGCTCAACAAATGTAGGAGAATGCAATTTACAGTTTTTTTATATCACTTTTCATTCTCTAGATATTCAACTTTATATCAGTATTATATAGTCAGCCATCTTGATTCTCAAGCAAAGGATTGTGGGTAAAGTATGACATCATAGAATCTGTTGTCAAAAATTTAGAAAATTATTTCATCTGTACCCTGAGAAATACTGATGCGAATTAGGTCAAATTGTCGTTGTGCATATTAGTCATGTATATAATTATAGCAATGGAAATTAGAATGTTAAAAATACACATAAAGGGAAGATATTGCTAACAACGTTAAAAAAATAAAAATCGATATTTTAGTCGTGAAATATAGATTGACACTTTTTGTCCCCTTTTTGTGGTCAACATGTAATATATCACCTATATAACCTACTCACATTGGTAAATTGTATACAATATAAGAAAATTGAGCATTTGGTAGAAAAACATAAAACTGAAAAGTTTCCATGACAACTATTTTATAAACATGGATGGTACCAGTATATGTATGCTACCAATTTCTAAACTTTCAGCCAATTTGCAGTTCAACCTTTGAAGTTATAGATGAAATCATTTTCTCAATGTCTTACAACAGATTCTATGATGTCATACTTTACCCATAATCATTTGCTTGAAAATCAAGATGGCTGACACATAATACTGATGAAAAGTTGAATATCTAGAAAATGAAAAGTGATATTAAAAACTGTAAATTGCATTCTCCTACATTTGTGGAGCTTTTTCTTTAGAGGTCATTATGTTGTTTGGATTGATGTTTCCTTTAATTGTCCAGGGCCCCCAAGGCTGGTCGCGGCTAACACATTTAGAGCAATAGTTACCAAAAGCTTTGCTAAAATATTCTTTACGACGTAAAAAGTCGGATATCGGAACTAACTTTTTAATTCTGGGCCTCAACTTCAATTGTAATTTTTTGTAATGCACTTTTTGTCGCCAATCAACTTTTACGCTGTAAACCCGGGCACCCCGATTTTTAGTTGCTTTTCGTCATTCATTTGATTGCAAATTGAATATTATAAATTTGTAGTGCTTTTAAAATGTCGACATTTGTTCATAGTGTGTCTAATTTTTTTATTATCAGCTTCCGTACGATACGGATAATTCCTGTCATAGATTTTCACTAAATGTGTATCACAAAGTACAACAGTCGGCCGTAAGTTGTATTTCTGAAAAGGAATTTCTCTACTCCATAGCAAGTCATGTATAAACAAAGGTTACGGCGTAGTGGACTTAATATGTTCCGCTGTTCTATCTAACTATGGTATTTAGAACAATAAACGTGCTCTGAAGATGACTTTCTCGGGCATGGAGTAAGTGCAATCACAGTCAATTATATACGGTCAAAATGAACACGTCAGTCGCATTGTTGACATAAGCTTACCGTTGTCGCGTAGACGGACTTCGTTCCGGTTTGCTTCGATGGTCGAACTCTTATATCCAGTAGATATATGTAGTTGACCAACGCAAACTCCAACAGTGCGCTGAATACAAACATGAGACAGCCAGAAAACCAAATATCCAGTGCCTATATAGAAAAGCAAATTGAATAAACACATCACAATGTGAACGTCTTCGTGTAAGTAAATTTAAAGCACGGTGGTCGTCGCGCAGCGCGTGTTCGAATTTCATGTAAATAAACAATGTATTTTACACGCCTATACGTCGCTTTGAGTCCCATATCGAACAGGACGAGGCGTGACAGCTGCAACCCTTTAATGGGTGGTGGTCGTCGTGTCGCGTTTTTTTTTCTCTCGATTATATGGGACTCATAGCGATGTACACAACGCGTGTAAATCAGATTGTCTGATTACATGAAACATTGGCTGTGAGACGACCATCGTCCTTTAATCCAAAGTGTGGAAAAGAACGCCAATTCAATATAAAGAGCACCACTATCGACAACATGGGATAACCTTTCCTTTACATCTTGATGTCTCATCCTAGCGCCACCATACGTATAAACTACGTATATTTGGACTGGTTTCTTGTCCCAGGGTTGTTTGCGCAGTTACGCAGCGCATTCCAATGGAATGCGCAGCTAACGCCGTTTTGTTGTCAGTGAATAGCGATTTCCGCATTGAAAAGTAATCCTGACTCACCGTAGGGTAAGAGACTTCGGGTAACGTGAACCGAGATGCCGACACTTGCGTTGTGACAGTGAGCACGGTAGTGATCCCAAGAGAAGCCCTGGCGGGGGTGGCATCGACGTGCAGCCAGAAAGTGATCCACGACAACATGACGAGCAGGAACGATGGCAGGAACGTGTGTACGATGTAGAACCCCATGACGCGTTCCAATGTGAAGCGCGCCATCAGTGTCGAGAAATTACCTAAAAAACAAAACATATGGGTAAATTAGCATATGTGTATACTAATAAGTGAATTGTGCTGATTAAATGTCTTAGCAAAAATCGTTATATGCTACGATGTTCGATTCCAAACTGGCACCGGATCCGAGGCTTCTTGGTGACCACGAGGCCGATAATATGAGAGTAGGTCAAAGACGGCACTCCCAATAACGTTTCAATAATTGAAATACTCATCCATTTCTGAGTGTTATTATTATTAAAAAAGAAAACGTCCAAACACAGAGCGCACGGTGTAACACATAATAATATATATCATATTGTTTATTGGTAAGGGACTAGCATCAGCCATAGATTTCATCCAAAAAATCGCGCACTTACTATTCGTGGCTTAGTTTACAGTTTTTTAACTTATTGGTTAAAAAAATAAACATTTTATTTCGCGTTCGTGTTTGTTGTATTAATGGAAAGGAGTTGGCATACATGAATATTATCAGTTTATTGTATTTAAAATACCGAAGCAATGTAAAACATTGCGTACTACAAAAATAATAATACATTATTCCCAGTTACTGTCAATGTTAAAACATATAAAATAACTCAGATTAACTACCCGCTTACTTCTTGTGTCAAATGCGTTTTGAAATGCATCGTTATTTTTCAACACATAATCGTGTTTGGCCATTGTGAACCCCACTTTACCCTCGTATATTAGGTGGCACTGGTATTTGTACTACCGTAGTTGTCCCGATCATGCAAGTACGTCTACGTCGTATTTTACTGACAATGTGGAAACAGTCACATTAACCCTACCCAGTCTGAGCTGGCTTTCTTCGCTGCTCGTGGTTATATTTATCACGTTAAATTGAGGCATTTTAATATGTTCGTTGTACTCCATACCGTCATGGTCGCCACCGCTGTGTTTCCACTTTAGTTGTATGTTTCTGTTATTGTAAGCGTCTGAGAAAGGAAATGTACAACATTACACGAAAGATACATTTGAAATGAACACAACATTTTGTAATTAATTCACCTGTTAAAGAAAGCGTACATTTATTACAATTGTTGTTCTATACTCCATACTGTATACCAAATCGTGTGAAGAATCAAAACCATTGATTCGCATTCACAGTGATTGCGCACTGGGCGCATGCGTGTTAGAGAATTCCATTGTTTCATAGGTGGCGCTATTCAGCATTTGCGGCGATCTGCGTGTCAATGCATAGGACGATTATTGCGAGATGTTCGCTACAAGAAACATCAAGTATCAAATAAATTTTTTGAAAATTACACATTCTCTATCATATTGCATATTTAATATTACATATTTGTATATGAGTTTTGAAAACCATAGCATAAAATAAACCATTTTGTAAAAGTTGGAGAAATCTGGTCATCCGTTCGTTTTGTATATATCCTCGGGGGCGGAGTACGTCACAGACGTTCCACGTTGCTAAGACGCGCACCACTGTACCATGCATTTCTATGGGCTATGTGCGCGCTGCTGTGGAACGCCGGTCGAGCCGGTGAAAATTCGAGAAAACAACACAAACTCAACTTTGAAGTAATCCCGAACAACCAAATTTATATATGTTACACACGTAGGGCTAATCTTGTTGCACTGTTCAGGGGACTCTAAACAATCATCCCAAAGTACTGTTTTCTGCGAGTTTTGGGCCTTTGTTTTCACCGCCGCGGGTTGCCAGGCGGTGATAATGCCCGGATGTCCGCCCCCGAGGATAGAAGACGGCTTTATGCGAGCAAAAAAAAGTTGCAACTTGTTGCTTTCTGATAAATATAATAAAAAAAAAAAAACATATTACAAAACATAATTAAAAACTGTTATTTTAAATCACGTGTCAAAGTTGAAACATCAATTGTAATTTATCGATTAGAATATGTTCCCAATAGCAGCGGTTCTTTGGAGTAAAAATTGATAATAGCAATGTATTATGTATACATCTATTTGAATTATATTACTGGAATTATCGATTTCTTTTCGCGTAAGCTTTTACATTCATATGACATTTAATTTGAAGACCACCAAGCATCATGATGATCAATGGTGATAATAAAAAGAAAAAAAAAACTCACAACTTCTCATCGTTATTGGGCACTCCTGTCGGTCCATAGGAAAATAATTCAATTGCATATAGCATGTCAGCGTCAAGCCCAACCTAAGGAAACGATATAACAATTAATATTTCAAGACCCGGATGCTAGTAAGACATGTAATAAACGACGTGGATGGCTTTTCGTGCCGTTTGGGTATTTTCTATGAAATGAAATGAATACGTAAATATATGAGTTATCGCTGTTGTTGGTTTCAATGATCGAATTAACTACGCATGCGCCTTGCGTCAGGTCGAGTTGTGTGTGCGTTTACTAAATCATGTGACATTCATGCATTTGAAACTATTTTGACAAAATATTAATAATATTATTTACAAAAATCAAAATTCAGCGTGCTAAAACACGAGAGCGATTTGTGCACACGCGCCTACCTCATACTGTAGATGACATCACCGTTTTTATGGACATATAGTGCAATATTTTCGGAGATTATGTTGTGAAACATTCCGTTCTTCTCGTTAACAAAATACACATCGGGAAGCCAGGCCTTCTCAATAATGTCCACAGTCTGAAATACTATCTCGCCACTGCTGTTATGCGTCAAGCGTGGATCATTCCATTCCAAGTACAGAGACAAACTAATAGAATAGTCCTACAGATTTTGAAAGATTCATGCATTCGTAAACATATAGACAGGATTAATATATATATATATATATATATATATATATATATATATATATATATATATATATATATATTTCAGCATGGTAACATGCGGACCAGTAATCCATCGTTCATAAATCGTTATAACTATCAAGTTAAACGGTTTACACTTCGCGTGGAAATGCAAAAACAGAATAAAACAAATCAACAATTCTGAGTATGCTTCGCTTCCTTTGAGACTGTATAGTCAAAGTGAAGAGTATCTCATTGCTTACTATGTACATGTGACCTGGATTGGTCAGAATGCGGTCACGTGACGGAGAATAAAACTTTTTATTATCATCTTCGGGTTATTAAAACTGAATATTGAACTTCACTTGGGTAATTGTTTGTTTATTATGTCCCAGTACACCTTTATCGATCAGTAGCCAAAGTAAAAGTCGCGAAAGTTGAAACTGAAGTCATCGTAAAGCACGCCAACACCTAAGCTACGTCGTTTCATTCTTTTATACGTGAACTGCAATTAGATACGGTGTAAAATACTTAGAAAAAGAACAATAACCAGAAATTAAAAGTACGAAACGACTTTAAGACAATGATTATGAAAAGAAAAAAGCCCGCTCAATTATTGAGGTGTAGGGGGTGAGCGCCCTCTTTCATCCCGTCTCATATTATTAGTCTCTTGGTTATAACAAGTTTCAGCCAAAGATACGAGGTAACGTCTAACAACAAATTCCACACTAAATCTACGGTGTCAGTTCCGCGATATATTCATTGGACGAAAACTTGAACTTCTGATTAAAATTGCATTCCAATTTGCGAATATGAAAACATCACCCCAGAAAAAGATAAAAAAATATTGTTGTTTTAGCTAAACAATATTTCATTTCGATATTACTATGCGACCCCTTACATAGACATATATACAATGTAACTGATAAACGAAGCCCACTAACTGAGTCATTGTAATACTGTTTACAAATCTTGCTTAAAATAAGGTGTTCGATTTCCTAAGCTGCAGTTTTTGTTGTTAACCATTCACAAATTTAACTAATATATGGCGTTATGTATTGTTCAGAGAATGGTACCTTATATATTTTGCAAAGTAGAAATACAAATTTAAAGTCAACGCCCTGCCAATCAGAATGGTTTTTACCCCTTCCTTTCAGCAAAGAATGTCCCGAAGCATCGTTATGATGATTAAAATTAATAATTTACAGACATTGAACACAAGAAAAAAGCAGTTTGATGACAATCAAACGCCGCCACATTGTTAACGAGCCAACCAATTTGTTTTCATATATATAAGCACCATGAACATAATTTCCCATGGGAATGGATCAATATTAATTAATTGATCATTGTCATATTTCGTACAACAACGAGAAAGTATCATCTATTTTCTAGAGTGGAGCAGTTACACGAAAAAGAGGCTCCGCGGCAATATATCACGTGATACGATAGCAGTTGC